TGCCACTTTGATTCTAGATCCGTTTCCGAAGTTTTTGATGCTTTGGAGAGATCATAGGTTTCTTGCGAGTTTGAAAAAAAGGAAAGAAAGAAGGAGGACTCTCGAACAGACAGGTGTGTTCCTTCTTCCGATGAGCTAAATGGGACTAATGGTAAGACATGCCAGCTAACCATGTCATCGCCTACTACCAAGGACATTCAAGCGCTGCGAAACAATGAGAAGCAATGCTGCTGCATCAAGAAGCATGAAAATGAAAGCTCTTACTTCTAAGAGTCATTTTTCAGGATGCTACAATCATTAGCCTGTTCTGTTGCGTTCCAGCTTGCAGAATCTTTGCCATTGTAAAGTAAATGTAATAAAGCTGAAAATGCATCTTTAGCAGACGAAGCCAAAGTGGTCCCTCCTATATCTCCTTCGTCTACCGAAAGGAAGAAAAAGCACGTGAAAAGAGTCGACCGAATACTGAATGAAATTCGAAGTAAAAAAGTTGCGGAGATGCCTGCAGGAACGTCAAGGTAACTTTTCTGGCCATTTTTTCCTAAACGTCGTTTCTGTGAGGTTTGTACAGATATATTCAGAACATTATCCATAAAAAAAGAATTGATACGAAAACCGAGTATCACAGTTATGTAGCGTCTCGAGGGTCATCCAAGAAGAACTCGAGCTTAAGATAAGCCCACTTTTGTACAGTGCGGGCATGACAGCACTGTACGAAAGTGGTCTGTCTTAAGCTCGAGTTCTTCTTCGATGACCCTCGGAACGCTAAGTGGGCTTGTGTAGCACTTTACAGTGAGGAATAACCAGCAGAACCCTCACGAACACCCTAAATAAGGACCCCTTGGCAGCCTTATTATAGAAGACCTGCTGACAAGTCAGTCTGCAACGCAACTTTTGTGGCATCCTAATCAGGGCACAGGCATCGTGATGTGTGGAATAATGGTGTGAGTGCGACCCTCCCTCCTTCAGGATGGTTGTCAGTACGACCCCCCCCCCCCTCCCCAACATCTCCTACCGGCGCAGTTCGGCGACGGGGGGGGATTTTGCATTTTGTTACTTTTCATCGACGTGACCTATGTATCTAGACAGCCTCTTCCCGAGTTGATAGGTTTTACCATGATGGCTTGACGACCTTGCTCCAGCTTCACAAGAGTTCACAGGTTTCGCCAAAGTGCAAACCTCAACTAGGGAAACAGTGATAGTGCAAAACACACCTTCGCACCCCCCCCCCTCCCCGTCGCCGCGGACTGCGCCCCTCCTACCTACCGATTTCCCACATTTTCCAGTTTTTCACCCAAAGATTTTCCGTCGAGCAAGGTGGGGGGGGGGGGGGTTGGGTACATAGTACACAAGAAACGGGGAAAATCACGAAAAGTCAACAACCAGAGAATTTTTTTCCCAACCGCGGCAAATTCCGAAAACTATTGCACCACTGGAATTGCATCTTACGTGAAGTGATGGGAGATAGTAGAGCCGACAGTCAGATTCTGCCTGCCGTGCCGCTCAGCAATAAGTATGTATGATGACAATAAGTGTAACGCGAACATTAATAGTGGGCGGTGCATTTGGTACAAGTGGATTACCTTCAACTTAAGACGGCCGTAAATCCCTCGTCGCCAACTCGGAGGTGGTCAGAGTGGTCTCAGAACACGAGGACCGGACTCTCTGCGAAGGAAGGACTTTCACGGATTAGTTGAGCGTGGCGTGTAGCTTTAGGTCATCAGCTAAAGCAACACATTCCATCCCTCTAGAAGTTAAAAGACGGGTAGTTCAAATGTAAATATGCTAAAAAGAATAGGAGACGAGAACCCTCTTTGCGGCACGCCACTGAGCACCTGCCTACATTCGGAAAATTCAGCATTAACTCGCACACGATAAACTCTATCAGTAAGAAAAGATTCGATCCATTTAACAATTCTGGGATGAACACTGACTATCTTGAGTTTAGTATTGAGCTTAGCATGAGGCACTCTGTCAAACTCTGTCCTTCTTTGTCCTGGAATATGCAGTTTATTTTTGTTACTTCGGAGGATTCTTTTCTATGGTTCATCGACGAGCGTAACCTTTATATTTTGGGGTTTATTCATACTGTACCTTCCCATCATCTTCACCCAGGCAATGATTTGTATGTTACCTGCGCTGGAGCTAGGAGAGATCATGATGAAGAAATCATTCACAGTTTTTAGGTCAAATAGAAACAGAGCGTTGACTTATAGTGAATCCTTGAGTTCTTGCCAGAAGTACGCAAATTCCGTATCGCTTGCGAAAAAAAGGATCCGCATTTGTGTTATTCTAAAAAGACAAGTTCCCTCCGGTGAAAATACAGTGGGATTAGAAATCAGTTGTGCATATTCAGTCTAGTAAAGCAGCGAAGAAATCGGCATTCACTTTTGCCACCATTTCGATGTCAGTTATTTTCTTTAATCATTCCTCATTTCCAGCCAGCAGACCGTACAGCCGGTGATCTTGGTAGTACCGACAGATAACATCTCAGCAACCGTCGAAGCTATAAAGAGGTATGGAGGTTGCCTCAGTAACAGCTCTATATTTGTTCACAACGACTGTTATTCAAAGGACAACGCGTTGTGTGGTTGGCGTTCCAGTTTTTTGGGGATGCGCTTGGCACTTTATTTCGATTTGGAATTGTGACGGTTTTCATACGCGGAGTTGTAATGGTTTTCATACGGAATGTGGCCGATATGGTGACTTGGGGGAGCGGTCCAGTGTGTGATTTAGTGTTTTTGTTTTCACAAATGCCTCTCCTAACAACGTCATGAAAAGAAAGAGCCTGATAGCGAGAGGGGCCGCATCGCACATGTGTGGGCTATAAAGTTGAAACAAGCTGTTGGAACATCCCATCTCTCTCCTTAAGTCGTCCATTGAAAACCGGTCGTGGTCCGTTAAGAATCGTGAACTCTTGAGCAAGTGATCAGGGCACGTCGTACGCTGAGAATCCCGGCGAGAGGGGTGGTATTTGGTCTCTTTTGGGGAGACGCGGGAGTCATATTTGCCTCAAAGGAAGATTTCATCGACTGCTGGCTTTTCGAAGTTGTTCCCGTTTGAGGTACGCCAATATGCAGGGTAGTTTACAAAAAAAAAACACGCTTTTGCCGAGTCACATATCAGTAAAGTTTTCGCAGCCCAGGCAGGAGTTGTGGATACGAGTAAAAGAACGGAAGATACCAAAAATGTTTCTCGCTAAGCAGGAGCAGGCTTTCGGCCATCACCTTCTTGTACACCAAAATATGAAGTTATCTCCGTTCACAGCCTGACTGGAGAAGGCCTTTGGAATTCACGTCACCTCCAAACAGCTGCGAAACTTCTAGTATGGTAGTCACCCATGGATAGCTACCTGGAGACCAGTACTCTCGCTCTGAAAGACTCCCAACATCGAGCAGCTCCGACAACGTCGCTACGGTCCAGGACTCATCTTCACCGTAGTCGCCAAAGCGGGTTGATGGTATGGACCTGACGTGCCCGGATTGCAAATACCGATTTTTTTTTCGTGGACCCCGGACTGAAGATGAGCGCTGACAGTTACATCGAGCAACTGGAGGAGAACATCCCATCTTCATGTCATCGCCTGTACCTTCTTGGAAATTTCGTACCGCTACAGGATGCCTCCACGCGGAATTGAAGGGCGTTGGAAAAACTCTCGCTTTCTTTGAATCGAAGGGGGTTGAGAACCTGATGAAGACGGAACATCCAAGCTTGTCATTGACCTAAACCCCTTCGAATACCAGGTACGAGATGAGCTCAACAGGGTGGTCCACAGTGGCGGAGAAATCAACGACCTTGCTGAACACCGACACCGAACCAAGGTCGCGTGGCAGAATCTCTCGATGGTGCTCGTCCAGAAGGCTGTGGCGGAGTGTCATGACAGTGTACAATATGGTGTTGAATATGATGGTGGAAATGTCTAATCAGAATTTAATAATGGTACTTATATCACCTCGAAGGTCAGGAAAGAGAAGTGTATTTTGGGGCTTTTTAGTATAAACCTCCCCCTCTGCTCGACAGTTTTTTTTATTTTGTGGAAAAGAGGGGGATTTAAAAAAAAACATAAAACCACACAGATGTGAAAAGTGGCAGGTTTGGAAAATTCAGATAGATGGCATCTAGGTTGGGTATGAGGAACGGAATGTACCAGACGAGGGAGTTTTGAGGTGGATATGGTAATGGTAGGAGTCGCAATTCTTGCAACAAAGTTCCCAACTGACGTCTCCCGTAAGGAAGGCTTGATTCCATATTCGGAAAGATAGCGCTGGATACTATCTCGTGGAGTTGAATTGCCCCATTGTCGCACCAGACCCTAACATACATTCGCAATATTTCAGTCGACTTCAGCAAACTTTATTAAAGGCATTGGCACGAGAAGTCCCCTAAGACGAGTAGGATTAATGCGCCTGGCAGGACGGAATTCCGCGACCCTGAGCAGGCGTTGCATAGTGCCTTATCCGAGGGAGGTGCCCTTATAAGGGCCCTATGAAGCCACAACATTACAACCCAAACGCCCGCCACGTCCGGCCGCCCACAAATGGACGACCGTTCCTGACGCTGTAATCGATTCATTTGCTAAACAAATTGAAGCGAAGGGATTGATATGAAGCGGCCGTGATGCAGCATGGATATATTATGGGAACACATGTGCAGCCGTACCTTCGGTAGCGGTTATTGGCAAGATGCCTACAGGAAACTCGTCCGAAATTGATTTCTAACACATTGAGAACGGAGGCTCTTTCTTCGCAGGATTTTGACGGTTTCACTCCGTTCTTTCGCCATTTCCCCCACTATATAGCTCCCTACTAGCATTTTAGGCCGAGCACCAAATCATCGTGCCAACTGCCTTTAAATTATCCTGAAAGGCTCTGCTTTTTGATATTCTTGATATTTGGTACCGTTTGACGCCATTCGCCATTCCCTACAACGGTGATAAAATTTCAAAAAAAGCAATCTTCTAGCAATAAACGCGGCTCTTGTTTCTCAACCTCGTAAATTTATAGGCTTGTTTCAGCGTTTTTCGAACGACAAATGAGATCTCCGTGCAGGTTCTTCCATACGAATCCGATTCAGTGGCGCCGACGGAGAAGAATACGGTTGCCGTTGGAATGGTCAGTAAAAAAAGTTGATCACTATGTAAAAAGTTTATGATCTTGCACGATCATCCATGATAGACGCGTTGTCCATCACATACGTGCGAGCTTGTTGGCGCTTATCAAAGCTTTTTGATAATGGCAGCTTGATAACGCGCCTAGATCTTCGACAGTATGAGCAGCTCCGAAAACTCAATGGATTATTCGTCCAGGGGAAAAGTGTTTTCTGTGATTGTAACATGGAGTGAAAACAGCTAATGGGTTCATAGTCAGAGGTGAATGCCTGTGTATGTCAAGCCACAGGCGTGCTTTATAAAGAGCTAATGGAGATTCAGATAGGGAATGATACTTTCTTCTGTTAAATGACTTCCTATTTGACTTTCTGAGCACTTCTGCATTTCCCTTAGGCACTGTTCAGAGTTCGCGAGGAGCCAGCGCACTACAATTGCACTGGAGTTCCAATTAGACGGGAAAGGGGCCATAGACGAGTATCGATCGGCACCGGCTATGAGAGTTTTGAGAGTATCTGCTTTATATATAGAGAGGATAGGAGAACAGGAGAGTACGCTCGCCTAATAACAAAGTCTGGTACCCTCTTGTTCTCTTATCCTCTCCTAAAACACTAGCAACCGGCGCCGATCAATCCCCGTATAGCTAAGGTGTCTATGGCATTGTACCTTACGTTACAGAAAAATCGAAGTCTGCCACGCTTGTAGGCGGCGAGGAGCACAGCGTCCCACGGACGAGTTGCCCTGATTCGGTGTGAGACTGGTGCTCGACAGACGGGGAAATTCGGTATCAGCCATCCCTCTGCTTGAGTCTTGTCTGTCTACGTTGGCGTGTTATTGCAATGTTAAAGTGTCGTAGAGCGACATAGCTCGTCGCGCATTTCATTGCAGTATGAACGCTGCCTCATGACCGTATTCACAGTAGAGCTTATTATTTGTAGAAGAGTCTTCACATATCCCATAAGGCTTTGGAGTCTTCAATAGTAATCACCTCAGTTTAGGTAAGTAAGATGCAACCCAAGCTAGGTGGTTAGTTTTCCATCACTAGAAAAATGTTCATTTATGAATTTTAACCCATTCACGACCATGTCTGCCACTGGTGGTGGACACCGATATGTCCACTTCGGACCATGTCCACCATATGTGGCGGACGCGCTTTTCATGGAATTTTTAGGAACAGTTCAAAACTTCGGGGAGCTTTTTCCAGTGATGCAAGTCTTCATACCTTCGTTTATTTATGCAAATAGTGGACCAACGAGATCTTCACTTATAAGGGTCCCAGGCACGATTCAACTAGAAAAGTCGATTGGCGCCGTTCCGAGGCCAAACGGCGAGACCCCCGTATGCCCAAAGTGAATCGTTTTGCAGTTTGAATGAGAATCTACAAAAACATGCAAGCTACCCTGGTTTTCGTGGAAAAGACATAGCACTAAATTAGCGCACATTGGCGCCAAATAGCGCCGGAGGACGGAGCAAATGTCATTTTTGTGACTTGAGGAATATCCTTTGCACTCGAAGATTCAGCTTTCGGGAGCGGTAAGTTGAATACACGAGGGACCGTCTCCACCACTAGTGGCGGACATTTGCTGTGAGCTCGTAAATGCTCCGGTCCGAACGAGCCGTTTTCGCAAAACGCGCCTTGTCGCGAATGGGTTAAAAAAATTGAGGCCGAACTCGGATGAGTACGGCCCTATTATAGAGAGCTCATGCTGAGTAGGCACCCTATTCTGAAGTGTTCAGCGCGCTATCAGATGAGTGAAAGCGTTTTTTTTTCAGGACCAGCCGTCGTGTTATGACTTCAGTGGGCAGTTCAACTCACCTGCGCCGTTCTTCTTTCCGTCATCAGCTTGTCCCAACACGGCGACTTGCAACAACACAACGGCTTGTCCCAACACAGTCAATGCATCATCCAGTACTGAGCAACAAATAGTGGGCTTTGCCCAGAACCCTACTATCTGTTACGAAGCTCAAGCAACAGAAGTGGTATGTAATACTTTGACGGTCGAAAAACCACAAGTGTTCTTTCCCGGCTGGTTCGCGAAGCTCATCTACAAAACAGCTGGGAAGATGCAAACCAAATTTCACCCGGTTCTTACATAGAAAAAGTAGCTTACGTATTCAACTTACATGACATTTTTTCAAGTGCGGTTGGGAAAATGGAACCCTGACAAGGGGAGCGACTCGCGGGCTCTCTGAATGCTAGTAATGTCTCTATTTTGAACTTCATCAAGTTTTTTAGCTAGTGTGTCCTAAAGACTTCGGTTGTTGTGTTAGTTCAGAGACTAAAACAGTCGCCGCTTTTAGGGATTCCAGTATGATTACGATGGAGGAGTAATGCGACAAGAGCGTGTACGGGATAGGACTACAAGTACGAGCCGGCAGTACCTAGACGAGGTGTATAGTGAAGTCCCAGGACAAGGTGTCCCGATTGAGGCGCCGGTGGCAAGAACATTTGGCACCATGGTTGATGAGAAAGTGTTCGCCAGGTTGGAGAACTGTTATTCTTTAACCATTCTTCGCTCCTTTTGAGACAGTCATATTGTGTGAGATGAAAACAGAACCCTACTAAAGAAAGCTTTTTGTTTTCGCACCTGGAAGGCGAGGGAACGTGCAAAGTAACGGTAGAAAGTAAAATTCATTAAATAAAGCTGAAGGCAGAAGCCAGAGTTCATCAGGTTCTCATCGGAGTGTGTCACGGATTTCAGTTTCGCTTAGAGTCGCCACGGCTTTTTGTTGTAATGTGCTTGGTCGATTGATCTGGTCTACTTGATCCCACCTGTGAGGGAAGGAGGTGGGGGTCAACAAGGTGGGATGGTAAACTTGGCTGGGGTGAGTGGGAGCCGATCCGAAATTTTATCTCTGAATCGTGTGTTCAGGAAGTGGCGCCACTCGCAATTATACCATCCTTGCTCATTGAATAAGGCTACTTATTAATCGTTATTAACCTCTAACTGTTATTTCTTATCAATATTTACATTTTAGTGTGAGAAACGCAGAAACGAGTATGGACGCGGCTGAGTTTGACATACTCCGAGATATTGAGACCCAGACGACGTTGAACGATGTGGGACTGATGACGGATTTTTGGACGGACATGGGTCATTCACCATGACCCTTTAATTCGCTGTTTATTATTTGGGTGTAGGGTGTTCAGGTGTTTATTTGTTTTGTTGTCGATTCCCATGTCAGCCTGTGATGGTATCTTGCAACTACAGTAGCATCTGTCTGCCAAACAATAGTTTGCAAAGGCATCGCTGTTTCTGTTCACTTAATGTGCAGACGCCGCCCATCACGCATATGTCCTGGTTGGGCAAGCGGGTCCTACAAATACTGTGCGAACTTTTTTTTTCTACTTCTCTTTAAAACCTTTTAGACTTCAATGGACAGCATCAGAATGCAGCATGGTGCAAACCCACTGCTGGTCGAGATCTAGCCAACGAACTGCTGTGACCTAGATCCCGGCGTTACTTGCCACCTTGTCATTCGTATATGAGCCCACTACAAACCATTTGTCGGCCGCGCGGATGTGCTTTTTGAGTCACACAGTTTACTCACTGCCCGAGCCGGCCGTTCCTTGCCTCAGGCCAGTAAGAGCGATGTTGGTAAGCAGTTGCAATGAAACACTATTTACTACTGACTACTATCGACATAGTGAGCTGCGGACTATCACAAATTCCCCATCGAAGCAGGGCACAGCATAATCGATGGGGAATTTTTCTGCCGCGGCTTTTACGACCCTCCCCCCCCCCCTTCTTTTTTCAGGGGCTGGTACGACCCTCCCCCCCCCGCTGACGCTTTTTTCATGAACACTGGATTGGCTGGACTGATGAGTTGTGGTTTATACACGGCTCGAAAAAGTTGCGGTCGACGGGGGGGTATGTATCTAAGCAGGGCGCTGGTTACGACTCCCCCCCTCCCAAAACACGTCCGCAAAGTCCGAGAAAAATCAACTATAATTTAATAGAATTTTTTCCGCAGCCCACATATACCGGACCCGCCCCCCTTTTTGCGGCCTCAATACCGACCCCATCCCCTCCTCATAGGCATCCCCCCATCAACGCTGTAGCCCTGTGCGTTGAGAAGCACTCTATTGCATTGCTTTTTGAGTACTTTCACATGAACAGACCGCTTTCCTGACCGGAATGTAACATGGAGCTTCCCAGAAGTCCACTGTTTTTCCACGAATCCGGTTTCGTGCACGCCTCACGCAAGTCTTTATGCGCGTACCGTGGGCAGTTCAACGAGGATACTTTCCTCTTCTTGGCTGAAAACCCTTGAGCTTAACGACAGGGTGTGATCCCTAGAAACGGGCCTTTTCTGATGTCTTAGGATTCATCCCTTCCTCAGTCTTCCTGCGTTGCCTGTCATAAAAATTGCATGGAATCGTGTCGCGCGCGCGCAGATGCACAGGCAGCGCGTTAGGCGAAAACAGGATAACAGGGCGCACAGACTATGGCGATGTCCCGCAAAATGGTGGTGTGAGCTACGACCCCCCCCCCCACTCGGAAGCAGGATTGCAGTTACGACCCCCCCCCCTGCTCTCTAACAGACAACCAGAGGCATGGTTTCACACCAAATGGCTTTCTGAAATGGACAAGGCTGGATTTTCAAAAGGCGGACTCTGCTCTAGAATCCAGTCAGTAGCACTGCTATCCGAGCCTCGCTGCAATATGAGGGTCGATCAACAGCCTCGCGATTACTTACAATTTTGTCTTAGATAACAATAGAAACTCGTCGTTGCGACACCATGGCTTTATGACATTTGAACTTGGTAAGCAGCAACACAGATCAAAACAGCCGATTAATGGGACTCGTATTGAGCTACAATTTGGTGAAAAAATATGCCCAGGTTTAGGGCTCGGGCCGTAGCCTCGTGTCTGGCCCAAGATGTGCATTCAGTGAGTTACGACAGGAAAACTCATGAGAACATAGGAAAACTCCATGAGAACATGCACGCAATACAACAAAAGCCGAAACATTGAAAAATACAAAATGCCGGAGCCAAAGGTGAAAAAAAAAATGGAAGAACTAGGCTGCAGTATATCGTTCCATATAGGCTATTATCGATCCACAAAACTTGCGGACCGCTTTCACTGGAAGAACACGTCGTTGGACGCGGCGTGTTGTGGGTCCCCGCCAACGATCGTGTGGTCTGTTCGGGGGCTTATATCCTCTTTTGAGACGGGCCGCAACGCTGTTGATGACAGGAGGTTAGACAAGCACTTGCATACGGGAGATGTTCCTACTGTTGCGCTTTCTCCTACTGTTGCGTATTCCTAACCAGCTGCAATCTGAATGTTTTCCGTTCCGTGAAATATTTCGGATGGGTTTCGGATCGGCAAAGGGTAAACAGCAGCGGTTTTTATTGCTTCATCATTGAGATTACTTATTCGAACGCAAGTTCAATCCAGATCAGAATCGACTTGAAACCGCCCTATCTCTTCTCTTTCCCACATAACTTCACATTTTCCTGAAAGACCCGACGAGTTCATGAAGATATTCGTAGAATGCCGTCATCCAGACGCGCCTCCCTCGACCCACCTGAAAATCGAGACTTTTCTGTTTGCCATCTGTACGAGGACACACCCTTCAAACTTCAGGTGCTGTGCTTCCAATTAATATTTTCCCTCCAAATGGATGTGATTTTTTAAGAGGAGCGTCGGGCTATTCTCGATCTGATTTGGGTCAGTTGTTATGCGCCGTGGATTACGGCTCCTTAGGCAGAGTGGGTGAAGGGTGTTAATTTCTTGATTTCAGTGGTGTTTTATATTGCAAGGCTCGTATGTTTTAGTTGAGAATGGGCAATAGCGCACCGATCCTGTTCGGAAGGCACGGCTACTTTAGTTTAGATCGGTATTCTTGTCGCATTCATGCTATTGAGCTTGGATATGTCTTATTAGTGGTTGTTATTTCTTGCTGGTGGTCCTATCTTGTCAATAAATTTTTTATTATTTGTAACGCCTATACATCCGTCTTCTTGCAGTCTTTCCCTCCTACTATAACTGTCAGCAATGACACTTTTGCTACTGTTTGTGGCTAGCGAGCCTACCTTTTTGCGAATACTCGCACGACCCCGCGAGCCAAGTCGAGCGCCTTTTTTCAGGGATTGAAAAGAGAGAGGACTTGTTAGAACGCCTAGCACTTACACTGTAAAGAATACACTCAATATATAATTTTCATTTTTTAACACATCTTCACTTCCATTAGCTTCACTCCAAACTCACTTCACTATCAAACTGAAACTTGGCTGCCCGGCTACTGAGTGACCTTGCGATGGTAAATCTACGCCCCCCCCCTCCCCCAAGCGGCCAAGTACGGACTCCTCTATGGGTCGCCACAACGACGCTGTCCGTGGGTCGAAACGACGTCACGCGGTCATAGTACGGGGGATCTCTGTCCGGGTTTAGTGGCAAAACGCGAGACCTCTAGCTCCATCCTTCACTCGCGTTTTGTCAATCCTCGAAGTGCGGCTAGAGCAATGCATGGACGAGAACTAGCAAATCGGATTTTTATTAAGTGGAAACACGGGTTATGCAGGTTTACCGAGTGGTTGGCTGACGCGCACTACTACGCGAATGTTCCAGTCTGTGGTACTGATCTATGAAAGAATTTCTTGTTGACCCCTAATTGGCCAAACTCTATGGTTTCACATTCGGCCATTTCATGATATTCCATATTTCTCCTCTTTACGTGAACGATTGCAATGTGTTTATCAGTTCTCTGAACACTCGATCATTCTCGCTATCGATTAAAACGTGGCGTGGGGTTAGGTGAAGTAGCCAATATCGAAACCACAGTGAAATGTGCTTACATCTGATAACAGTTTCCAGGGTGCGGGTTTTCACGATATCCGCTTCGTTTGGTGGCCGCTTATCATTCCCCACTGGCGAACTTTGGCCTTGTACTTTTGTCGAAACTCGGAAGTTTAGCCGTCTACATATAACGCTAAGGATAGAAACACTTGAGCTTTCCGCCCCATTGATTCCAAACGGGCCACGGCTGAATCAACATCTCAGTCGGCCAAGCGGAATAAACGGTGGGAAGGGACTTACTGACGCTTGTCGTACACTATATCAAGACTTATATCCCGACCACCAATGTACCCCTAGACCACCAGAATTGCCTTACTGGAGAAGTATCCCAGGAGTAGCTACAACTCGCTTGCCCTGAGTTTTGTTGCTGTTCCCACTCCTGCCCTCCCTTTCGTACTTGTTGTGAACCTGACGTCCCTTGTTTGCTTGAGGCCTTGACGTTAGTTTAAGGTCACCTCCCTTCTGAAGCGTGCCTCAACGGTATCTTGTCACTGCACTGCCAACCCATGATGTCCGTATTCCTGCCAACCTGTCTTACTCTTGAAACCAGACGTCTTCGTCGATTGCTGCGGCACGCGACGCGATGACTTTAGGTAACCACTCCTTCTAAGGCTCCTTAGTGGGTATCTTATCAGCTTGCCATCATTCCTGCTACCTACCAATCAGTGTTTTCTATGCCTACCCCCTACTTACTCGTTTGGAACCAACGTCGGTTCGTTGCTGCTGGCCGGTGTTTATGAACTTAGGCAACCACACTCGGCCTCCGTTCATGCTCTTATCGAGCTGCTATCACTCTCTGCCAGCCTAGACCAATAATGTTCCTATCCTGCCCTTATCATTGCTACTTGAGACCCAACGTCCGTCGTTGCTCTGCCCGGGTGTTACTCGAATTAGGACAACCACTCTTCTCAAGGCTCCTTATGGGTATTTATTCAGCTGCTATCACTTCCTGCTACCTATCCAATGATAGTTCCCATTCCTGCCCCCTATCTCACTTCTGACGGATCCAACGTTAGTCGTTGTCCGTGCAGGTGTTAATGAATAAGGGTATAAACACTCCTTACTAAGGCTCCTTATCGGTATTTATCAAGTGTTACTCGTCTGCCCCCACAACAATGTTCCTGCCCGGCCCCTACCATCACTTATCATTTCGAGCGCCATATCGCTGTTTTGAAGAAAGTATGAATTTGCCGGTCGCACACACACACACACGACATACAAACAGACACACAAACATGTCGACACACACACCACACACAACACACACACACACACACACACACACACACACACACACACA